GGGGGGGGGGCTGGTGCTGAACCAGGGCTCAGCCACATCTGCTCTTCTCTGGCCACCTTGAACCATATTTTCCTTTCCCCAGGGCCTATGATCCTACAGATTATGAGCATTTGCCAGTTTCAGCTGAGATTAAGGAGCTCTTCCAGTATATCAGCAGGTGAGCACTAGGCCCTCTTCCCATGACCCCCACCCCTTTCCTACCTCTAGTCTGAAACAAGCCTGTTCTTCCTAGATTTTTTTAGCCTGAGCAGTAAAGTTCATTTCTCTGACTTTCTCTACATTCCCTTGGCGATGTCTCCTAGGTACACACCTCAGTTGATTGACCTGGACCACAAACTGAAACCTTTCATTCCTGATTTTATCCCTGCTGTTGGGGATATTGACGCATTCTTAAAGGTACAGTTGGCACATCCTAAAAATGACTTCTTAGGTGTTTCTTCTGACCTCTCCATACTGTTAACAACTCAACTAATTTCCTTGGCTAGCATTGGCTATCTTGATGTATATTCTTCATTTCACTGGAGTTCTCAACCTTGCTCTCCAAACTCTACTCATTGCTATTTACGTAATACTTGATTATATCATTATATATTCAAAATTTGTCATTCATTTACCTCCTAATTATCAGCTGTACATTTAGGGCACTGTAGATCATGTATTTTTTTATAGATAGAATTTTAGTACAGCATGATATACAAACATGTCTTTTTAATACTAGTAATAATAATGAATGGGAAGAGTTCTTCCTCTTCAACTTATTGGAAACAAGAGGTGTGACCTTTTTATGTGCCCCCCCCATTTGTTCTCTTTCTTCCTTTCTCTTAACCAGGTCCCACGTCCTGATGGAAAGCCTGACAACCTTGGCCTGTTGGTATTGGATGAGCCTTCTACAAAGCAGTCGGACCCCACAGTGCTCTCACTCTGGTTAACTGAGAATTCCAAACAGCACAACATCACAGTAAGATACTGGCCTAGTACAGACACCACCTGGAGAGGGCCAAGAGCAGAGGCTGTCTGGTATCTGTGCCATCAAAAGGGATGGCTGTGGTTTCAGGCCAACCCTATTTTTTTATTTTTTTTTTAAGTGCTTTTTTTTTTAAGATTTTATTTATTTGAGAGAGAGAGAATGCGAGAGAAAGAACACATGAGAGGGGATAGGGTCAGAGGGCAAAGCAGACTCCCTGACAAGCAGGGAGCCCGATGCGGGACTCGATCCAGGGACTCCAGGATCATGACCTGAGCCGAAGGCAGTCGCTTAACCAACTGAGCCACCCAGGCGCCCCAACCCTATTTTTTTAAAAGACAGTTCATTGAGATGTGATTTACTTACCATGAAGTTTGCCCTTTTGGATTATACAATTCAGTGATTTTTAGTGTATTCACAGAGCTGTACAAACATCACTGCTATCTAATTTAAGAACACTTTGATTATTCCAGAAAGAAACCTCATACCCATTAGCAGTCACTCCTCATTCCCCACTCCTTCTAGACCCTGCTAAGTACTTCAGTTCCTTCTTTTTTTCTATTTGAGTGGAGTTGACACACGTTACGGTAGGTTCAGGTTACAGCACAGTGGTTGGACAAGTTTATACACTCCGCTGTGCTCACCCCAAGCGTGGCTGCCATCTGTCACCACACAGCGCTATTACAGTACCACTGACCTTGTGCCTTTTATTCCTGTGACTTACTCCTTCCATAACTGGAAGCCTGTATCTCCCTCTCCTCTTCACCTATTTTGCCCATCCCTCCCACCCCCTACCCTCCGGCAAACACTAGTTTGCTCCCTGTATTTATAGGTCTGATTCTGCTTTTTGTTTATTTGTTTTTTTTTTATGATTCCCCATTTAAGTAAAATCATATGTCACTCCTTTTTTTATGGCTGAATCATATTCCATTGTATGGACATACTGCATTGTGGTTCTCCATTCTCTAGTTGTTTCCACTTTTATTAACATGCTGTTGTGAACTTGTATGTACGTACAAGTTTTTGTGTGGGCATATATTGTTATTTTATTTTGAGTACATATGTAGGAGTGGGATTGCTGGGCCGTGTGCTAACTGCTTAACATTTTGAGGAACTGCCACACTGTTTGCCAAGCACCTGAACCATTTTACAATCCCCCCAGCAATGAATGAGAGTTCCAGTTTCTCCACATCCTCGCCAACACTTGTTACTGCTGTCTTGTTTATTCCAGCCATCCTAGTGGTGTGAAATACCATCTCAGTGTGGTCAGTCCTATCCTGTTGACCTGCCCCCTTTGCATGGCTCCAGAAAATTTTACCAGAGTTTCCTCTCATCTGCATTGGCTGCCATCAGGCTTCCCCATTCATTAGCTACCTGCTGTATACGAAATAGCAGCAAGGATGAGCCATCCAATTAAAATGAGAGCTACTTTAATGCCATCAGCCAGGGTTTCCCCTTATTTTTCTAGCAACATATGAAAGTAAAGAGCCTAGAAGATGCAGAGAAGAATCCCAAAGCCATTGACACATGGATCGAGAGCATCTCGGAGTTACACCGTTCTAAGCCCCCTGCGACTGTGCACTATCCCAGGTAAGAAGTAGCAGCCTCTTCCCCACAGTAACCGCTGGGCTCCTTCACCGGCCTCAGGCCCATTGCTCCTGAGAGGAGGGCCCCCAGGCAGAGGACATACTGGATTAGCCTGCGGTCCTGTGGATCCTGACAGCTACTGGCTGAGACTGCAGACATAAAGATGATTTATCTGGTATTACTTAGCCATTCTTCCAGACCGCAGAGCTTGGATAAATAAGTCTGCCCAGTCTGTGTTCTCCTGAAATCCTCATGTGGCAGACTGACCACCTCCCTTCATTCCAGAATCTCCTGACCCAGCGGTTGCTGATGTCATCAGCCCACATTTCTTGTTCATATTTACCTCTGTCCATATAGGCCCATGCCTGATATTGACACGCTGATGCAGGAATGGTCCCCAGAGTTTGAAGAGCTTTTGGGCAAGGTAAGTGGAGAGAGCAGGAACTACACAAGTGTGGCATTTACTTGAAGGCCCAGTGTTTGCACTCTTCCTGTATTTGTTTAAGTTTTTTTTTTTTTAATTGACCAACTTTAAGTTTATTTATTTATTTATTTATTTATTTGAGAGAGAGAGAGAGTGCGAGCCCCAGCATGCAAGCAGGGGGTAGGGGCAGAGGGAGAGGGAGCATGGAGCCTGACTCGGGTCTCGATCCCATGACCCTGAGATCATGACCGGAGCCAAAATCAAGAGTCAGACACTTAACCGACTGAGCCACCCAGGCATCCCTTAAGTTTTTCTTTTTTTTTAATTTTATTTTTAAGTAATCTCTACACCCAACCTGGGGCTCGAACTTATAACCCTGAGATCAAGAGTCGCATGCTCTATCGACTGAGCCAGCCAGGTGCCCCTCTCTTCCTGTATTTTATTATCATTCACTTTTTATTTTTATTTTTTTATTTTTTATTTTTTTAAAGATTTTATTTATTTATTTGAGACAGAGAGAATGAGAGAGACAGAGAGCACATGAGAGGGGGGAGGGTCAGAGGGAGAAGCAGGCTCCCTGCTGAGCAGGGAGCCCGATGCGGGACTCGATCCTGGGACTCCGGGATCATGACCTGAGCCGAAGGCAGTCGCTTAACCAACTGAGCCACCCAGGCGCCCTATCATTCACTTTTTAATTGGAGTATAATTCACAACAGAGACATACACACATTAATTTTCAGCATCTGAACAGCTTTGTATAATGAACACATCAGATCAAAACACAGAACATCACTAGCATCCCGGAAGCCCACTCATGCTTCCATACACTTCCACCTCCCAAACGTAATCACTATCCTAATTTTTTTTTTTAAGATTTTATTTATTTATTTAACAGAGAGAGACACAGTGAGAGAGGGAACACAAGCAGGGGGAGTGGGAGAGGGAGAAGCTGGCTTCCCGCGCAGCGGGGAACGTGACTGAGGGCTCGATCCCAGGACCCTGGGACCATGACCTGAGCCGAAGGCAGACACTTAATGACTGAGCCACCCAGGCATCCAGAGTGTCCTGATTTTTTTTTTTTTAAAGATTTTATTTATTTATTTGACAGAGAGAGAGCGAGAGAGGGAACACAAGCAGGGGGAGTGGGAGAGGGAGAAGCAGGCTTCCCGCGGAGCAGGGAGCCCAATGCGGGGCTCAATCCCAGGACCCCGGGATCATGACCTGAGCCGAAGGCAGACGCTTAACGACTGAGCCACCCAGGCGCCCCAGTGTCCTGATTTCTAACAGCATAGATCAACTTGCCTATTTTGTGTGCTCTCTAGATCTAATCATCCTCTTTTGTGTCTTATTTCTTTTTCTCTTAAGAAAGAAGTCAGGGCACCTGGGTGGCTCAGTCTGTTAAGCGTCTGCCCTTGGCTTAGGTCATGATACCAGGGTCCTGGGATCGAGTCCCGCATCGGGCTCCTTGCTCAGCGGGGAGCCTGCTTCTCCCTCTCCCTCTGCTGCTCCCTCTGCTTGTGCTCTCTCTTTCTCTCTCTCTCTGACAAACAAACAAACAAATAAATATCTTTTAAAAAGAGAGAGAGGTGCTGGCCCCGGTGAAACCTCAGCCTTTTGACTCTGGTCTGTCCCATGCTCGTCCTAGGTGAGCCTGCCCACGGCAGAGATTGACTGCAGCCTGGCGGAGTACATTGACATGATCTGTGGTAAGCTCTTCCATCCCTTCCTTTTCCCCGTCTCTGGACGAATACACTGTGGGGTTTTGCAAAGGCTCCTTTGCTCTGGGAAAATAGCATCTTGAGTTACAGCCAGTTTGCTGTTTGGCAGCACTGAAGGTGGTATTTGGGCTTATGTGACTCCCCACCAGGTCGGCCCTCAGAGTCATAGCGACACATCCCATCTGGGAGGGCCATGGCCATCCTAAACGTAAATGCCCCATAATTCCCAGTTGTGTTTGGTTCTGCTCATGGAAGCTCTTGATTTCAGCCATCCTAGACATCCCTATCTACAAGAGTCGGATTCAGTCCCTGCACCTGCTCTTCTCCCTCTACTCGGAATTCAAGAACTCACAGGTAAGACTAAAGAAGTGTCTTCTGCCGTAGTGAGGAACGCTCCAGTCTCTACTCCTCCAAGTCAGCTGGGATTCGCCCTTGGACAAGGAAGGGTGTTTCTCCAAGGCTTACCATCACCCTTCCCTGTTACTCAAAGAACAGCAAGCAGGAAGGGTGGGGCTTTCACAGGGAGGGAAGCAGAAGAGCTGTAGGCCTTTGGCCTGGGGGACACGCCAGGGACACTCACCACAGGGCTTAAGGAATGGACGCAGGGCAGAAGGAAAAAAGGGGTTCATCTTTGAAGGGGGTGGGGCAGATTGCTAGCTGTTTTTCAAAGACAACACCAAGGAATTGTTCTGAAAGTAGAACTGGGGAAAAATTGGAGCTTAACGGGCTGTAAAGAGGTTCGTTCTTGCTCAGATGCAGCAGCTAGCCTACCAGATACCCCATGTACCCTCTCCTCTTTCCTCACAGCATTTTAAAGCTCTAGCTGAAGGCAAGAAAGCATTCACCCCTCCATCCAACTCCGCTTCCCAAGCTGGAGATGCAGAGACATTAACCTTCAGCTGAGACACCCCCAGGGTCTCTCTGCTCCCAGGCTGAGCTGCCGCCTCTGCCCTGGCTGAGGCGACACAGTCATCAGCCATGTGGCGACCGCGCCCGCACCACAGCCTGACTCGGACGCGGACGTCCTGCTGCCCTCTGTGCCAGAAAGTACTGCATGTGTTCCTTAAATGGCTTCTGCCTATCTCCGGTTTTCCTCCCGTGGGAATTATGCACCGACACCACTGTGGGGACTTGAGTTAGAAGAATAGAAGGACTGGAACGTCTGGGATTCTGGGGTGCTCAGGTTGGGAGGAAAGCTTCAAAGATGTTCTTTTTGAGACAGCGACGGAATTCTTTTTTTCTTTCATTCTTAACGTTATTGGCAAAGATTTGGCAAATAAAATGCTCTATCTTCCAGGTTGTCCTGCTCTTCTATAATATGAAAAGAGAAAAGACAGACTGAGTATAAGGCGGAGCTAAGGATCAGGCCCAGTAATGGCATTAAGTGAACAGCAGTTTCAGCAAATCAACTCTGTGAAAGAAAAGCACATCCCTCGCCTCCAGGGTTGGCCGTAGAGGGCGATGATCTTCTCCCAGAACTGACTTTTCCTAGGGGTCTCTCACCAGTTACTGCTGCTGCCGTCTTACAGTTTACCTGCCTGTCTGGCTCCAGACCTGGCTGGTTGTGGTCTCCAGAGAGCCTAGTTGCACCATCGGGTGGGAGGTGACTGTGCCCTGGACGAGGGAGGAAGCGGTGGTGGAAGGAGAGACGGGACGATTCAGGAAATAATTGGGAGGCTATATCAGCCAAGCTCCAGTCAGGAAGTCAGAAAACGTGCCAGTTCATTCTTCTTTCTTTTTTTTTAGAGGGTGGGGAGGGGCAGAGGGAAAGAGAATCTGAAGCAGGCTACACCTACCCTGGAGCCCAGTCTTACCACCCCGAGATCATGACCTCAGCTGAAATCAAGAGTCGGACACTTAGCTGACCGTGCCACCCAGGCACCCCCATGCGAGTTATTCTAACACGGGGTGTTAACGGTGGGGAATTGGTCACAAAGCATTGGAAGGGCTGACAGAGCAAAAGGGAGAAGGGAAGGTGGGCTGCAGGAAGGAGAGGTTCAAGGGGAGGCATCTGCTGCAGGTGCCGGAGGCAGAAGGGCTGCTGCAGTGGTCTCGAGGGGCTGAGGGGGCGCCACACCGAAGCACTGAAGTCCGCATGCCCTCACCCCACTACCGGCTCAGCTGTGAGTAATGGCTGCGACTTCCTTTCTCCCACCTTCTCGTATCCTGCGGGCGCCTCCCACTGGCAGAAATCAATAGCTGGCAGGGGAATCTGGAAACCCAGCAGTAGAAAACAGAACAGAAGGGAGGGTGTGGGGCTGAGAGGCAACAAATAGATAACCAGGAGAGGTAGAACCACAGACCTTGCTGGTAGACTGGATGTGGGGGACAGAAGGAAAGGAATCGGGGATGACACCCAGGTGTTTGGACTTGAGCAGCTGAAGGGGTAAAGGAGCCAAGTACAGATGTGGGGGGAAGTGGGGCAAGAATTGATTGGAGGGGAGAATTACATTAAAGTGCTACACTGTCAGCCTAATCTATACACAATAAACACATAGATGGGATGGGAATTGTTTCTGACAGACTCTTCCACCAGGTGTGAGGTCCACATCATGCTTCAATTTGAGGAAAAGGAACATTCGTGCTCAGGGCTCACTGTGACATCCCACTGGAACCAGGCGCTCTGGTCTCAGATGGGATACCAGCAATGCTCACATTTAACTCATAGGGGAAAAGTCAGGCAAAGTATGACAGGAACTCAAATTCCCCATTACTTTTTCAGGGAGCACTCAGATTGCCTTCTTTGGCTAGAGCTGAGAGTCAGTACTAATAAATACCATTGATTCTTGTTCTCCACAGTAGTTGCTTTGTTTTGTTTTGTTTTAACCAGGTCCCATGCCCAACGTGGGGCTTGAACTCACAACCCTGAGATCAAGGGTCGCATCCTCTACGGACTGAGCCAGCCAGGTGCCCCATTATCCACAGTTGTTATGTTCTATAAAGTCACGGCAAACACCCAATTAGCAAATACTCAACCATCGATCCTCGGGGAGATACAAGGTTAGGTTTCTGTGTGCCCCTGGTGTACCATGTTCATCAACCACCCATGGATTCTCTGAACTCACAACCCCCAGCACTATAAATCATGCAGTACTGAAGCTTATCTAACACACTTTCTCCATGAGACACATCACGGCCTTATTACATGTAAGAGCGCTAGACAGCACGTCAGCGCCATGCTTGGGGGTCATTTTAAATAGCAAAATCACCAGCAATAAGCAGAAAACGTAGCAATATGTAGAACGTGTTTACAGTATGAGAGCTGAAACCAGAAGGCAGAACGTCCCCTTTTTCAGCCTCAACAGGGAAGGTAGGTGTCGGGTGACTTAAATTTTTCACTGCTCTGAGCATGTCTGCAAATCACTGTGGAAACCCTGCAGGTATTGATTTGGGATAACAAACATATTTTAGTGAGGAAGTGGATTCACAAAGGTGGAACCTGCAAATAACACGGATCAAGTGTACTTCCTGCCGCAGGCACTGTTAACCACGGCCTTTGCTTACCTTGCCGCTCCTTTATATCCAGCGCAGCCCCCCAGTGACCATCCCAGGAGCTCTTCTCTCCGCCTCAACGCCTGTCCTTATTCCCTGCTGACTCCTTGCTCTGTGGCCCTAGAAAAAATCCAGTAACTTCTATACCTCAGTTAACCTAGCTATGAAACAGTTACAATAAACACTAATTAACTGTGAGACTTGTCCCATGGGCAAAATTATGTGAAAAGACTAAGTGCCCCCACATGTAATATGTGGTAGTTATGTTACTAAGTATAAATTTTCAACTAGGCCTCCTAAAACTGCATTTGGCTACTTTATCCCCACCTGGAGTCCTCATTTTCCATACTCCCCCAAGGCAAACTGCAAAACCAATCTGCTTGCCCTGCTCTACCCATGATTCAGGAAGCCCCCCTTCTTCTTTTTTTAAAAGATTGTATTTATTTATTAGAGAGAGAGAGTACGAGCACGGTGAAGGGCAGAGGGAGAAGCAGGCTCCCCACTGAGGAGGGAGCCCAGTGTGGGACTCGATGTGGGCCTCGATCCCTGGACTCCGGGATCATGACCTGAGCTGAAGGCAGATGCTTAACCAACTGAGCCACCCAGGTGTCCGGGAAGTCCCTCTTCTTTTTTTTTTTTTTTTAAAGATTTTATTTATTTGACAGAGAGAGACAGCGAGAGCAGGAACACAAGCAAGGAGAGTGGGAGAGGGAGAAGCAGGCTTCCCGCCGAGCAGGGAGCCCGATGTGGGACTCGATCCCAGGACCCCAGGATCATGACCTGAGCCGAAGGCAGACGCCCAACGACTGAGCCACCCAGGCGCCCTGGGAAGTCCCTCTTCTAACTAAACTCGTATGCACGCTATTTCCCTTGCTTGAAGTGTCCCTCACCTTCTCTGCTGATCCTAGGCTTTCGACATTTGGAAATAAACATTGAATACCATATGTACATCTCACTCCCTCCTTTAACCCTATACAATGACAGTATAAGAATAATAATTTTGAAAAAGATATAGACCAGCAAGGATTGATAATAGGAAAGAAAATGACAGAAGACTAGGCAGCAACAATTTTGGAAGATGGATAAGTGGTAATTGATTTAGTGGGGTGGGGGGAGCCTGAAATTTGCCTATAGAGGAGAGAGACAGAGAAACCAGTAAGAAGTGAGCCATGTCACACTGCAGAACCCCGGGAAGGATCAGGGATTGAAACTGCCAGGTATTTCTGACGGCACACATGCAGGGTGGGGCTGAAAACAGGAGAATTGGTTGGAGGTGTGTAGAAGGATTAAATCCCTAGAAATGTCCCTCTCTGTGCTGCCCACCTCTCTATCCCAACAGAAGATAGTCACCTTTGAACCAGGGAGGCTCTGGACATGAAAACACCAAGCCACTATGAGGACAGCAGTAAGGGGCCATATTTAAAAGAAGTGGATAGGGCGCCTGGGTGGCTCAGATGGTTAAGCATCTGCCTTCAGCTCAGGTCATGATCCCAGGGTCCTGGAATCGAGTCCCGCACTGGGCTCCCTGCTCCTTGGGAGCCTGCTTCTCCCTCTGCCTCTCTCTCTCTCTATGTCTCTCATGAATAAATAAATAAAAATCTTAAAAAAAATAAAAAAATAAAATAAAAGAAGTGGATAAAACAGAGGAGTGAGGAATGAGATCCTCAGCTCTTTCCCATGCTTATTTATACCTCCGAAGCAGAATAATGGAAGAGTCCCCTCGGCAAACTGATCAGCCAAAAAGAAAAGAGCTTTAGATATTGACATGGAGTCTTTAAGCACATGTCCAGGTCCCTACCTCCCCATCAGCTTCCAATCAGCTTTCTGGTTATCTCATTCTTGTGTGTGTACACCTGTTCGCAACTCTCATTTTAAACATGAATGTACAGTCAGAGATCACCGGACTTTGGAGAAAGCCAGAAAAACAGAGACTAAAATTGGCAAAACAAAGCAAATCAGAGAAACAAAGCAGGTAAGCTAAGGGGAAAAAATCAGTAATATTCATAGACCAGTTCTCAAACTTGGTTGCACATTAGAATCAACTGGAAATCTTTTCTCTCTCTTTTTTTTTTTAAGAGAGCATGTGTGCAAGCAGGAGTGGGGGTGGAGGGGAGGATCAGAGGGAGAGAGAGAATCCTTTTTTTTGGTAAAGATTATTTATTTATTTATTTACCACCCAGCTGCCCCGGGAGAGAGTGAATCTTAAGCAGGCTCCATGCCCAGCATAGAGCCAGACACGGGGGTTGATCTCAAGACCCCGACATGACCTGAGTCAAAATCAAGAACTGGACGCTCAACTGACTGAGCCACCCAGGTGCCCTGGAGATTTTTTTTTTTTT